TTGTGAGAGATTATGTTGAAGAGTTTTACCATTGAAGCATCGTCAAGTTCTCACTCGTCACGCACAACATCTTCATATCTTTTCAACAAGGAAATTTGCTGTTAGATTGATCTTCTTTACTGTTCCTCATCGAGCTACGCTTATATTTTTGAAGGACAGTTTGTTTAACAAAAGGACTATAAGATATTTCTTATATGCTAAGCTTTAATTATTGTTTTTGGTTTTGCTTTAAGCTTCTTTGACAATGTACTCAAATTGGAGTTACTCATTGTGGGAGTTAGGTTAGACGAATGGTTTTGTACGGATTCTAATGTGTGGTCTTGTAAGTTTACTAAATCGGGATTGTGATTCAAGTTAGCTCTTTGCATAACGAACAAGTCTCTTCTTGAAAAGGAAGAGTAGACATAGGATTGTCATCCGAACTGCTATAATATCTTGCATATTCCTTGTTGATTGTTCTTGATATTTGATTATTGTTCTTTGAAAAATTAAAGAAGAAATGAGAATAAAATTTTGTATTAATCTCCCTAACTGACTTAGGAAAAGAATGAATACAATCTCTCTTTGCAATCTCTCTCTAACTGATTTAGAAAAAGAAATTATAACTCCTATATATCGGTTTCTCGATTTACAAAAGAGAGAAGGGATCAACAGAGACCCTGCCATTTATTTAAAACTAGGTTCTTCTTGGTGTCGATGGGAGCTTGATTCTTGTATCCCGTTGACGATCCGAATGCTTCACCTTGTGAAACTTGGTCTTCGCCTCTTGACTCGACGACTTGGACGAACTTGCAAAGCAAATTTTAGAACTCTGAACGAGCTTAGAAGAACTTGACGAGCAAGTTGAAAACTCTGCAAAAGAGTTGATTTGAAAAAGAGATTTCAATCCCTTTTAGCTGAAATAAACTTTCTAGACAAGTTAAACTGGAGCTGATCAAGATGCTTCGAAAATCCCACCTTCAAAGCCAAAATCAAGGCGATCCCAAAAGCCGATCCTCTAGGATGATCCCCAGATCTCTCCCCCCTCACTAAGATCCGAACCAAAGATCCCAAGCTAAGATCCGAACCTTCAGATCCGAAAATCATCAAAGGTCCCCCCTCCAAAGAGATCTTTGCTGCTGATCCCAATCTGCTAGAATATCCGATTTAAACTGATTTTTAGCTATTTATAGGGGATTAAGGGGTCTAACTAACCCCTAAAATCGCTCCTTAGTGGGGGTGTAATCCCCCTCAAATCACGGGAAATGGTTTTGGAACCGTTCAGCTCGTGTTTAAACGAGTCAAACACGAAATCCGCGTTCTAGAAATGAACTCTACGTCTTGAACTTCAGACGCGGAGTTGGGCTCTACGTTTGGGGTTAAAAATGCAATGGTGAATCCTGCGTTTGAGTCTGAAAATGCAATGGTGAACCCTACGTTTTGTTCTTGAAACGCGGCTGTGAGTTTCATATTTTATTCCTGGGACACAGAGATGAGCTCTGCGTCTTGACTCTAGAAGGCAGAGGTGAGCTTCTGCGTCTTGTGGTGAAGAGACCGTCAACTTGTAGTCTCTTTTATTAGAGCGTTGCAAAGATTGTCATCTCATAATCTTTGTCTTGGCTCTTTGAAATGTGAAAGTCGTCAGTTGTAACTCTTGTTGATGATTGTGAAGGTTGTCGAATCAGAATTTTCATCGGTTGTTGTGAAAGTCGTTGAATTGTAACATTCGTCGATTTTCATGAAAGTCTTCAAATTGTAGCCTTCTGGAAGTCGTCGAAGTGTAACCTCCATTATCAATGTTTGATGAGAATCAGCTATCTGTAGTAATTTTTAGACATCCTACAATTATATTGCTTTATTTCATTTATCGCTTTTATTTTATGTATTCCACTGCATATTCTGTGTTTTTGGCAAAAAAACGATAACAATCCTATTCAACTCCCCCTTCCCCGACTTGCATCTCATATCCAACATCTTTATTATCTAAAAGCTTAATGATTCATTCATATTTAATACCTTTTTATCTCCTATGCATGATATGCATTTATCTCTACATCGTGAGTTTTGTGACACATTCTCACATGTCTAGAAAGACATTCTCTACATATGCTCTAACCATAATTTTTGTATGTGTCAAGCTCTATACGTATGAAAATATGTTGCGTAGAAACAAAAAATGTATCACAATATACAACTTTTGTTATAGTGATACTATCAAACTATCAAATGCATCTTTTATAATAAATATCAGTAGCAAAGAGTTCTCATATTATGAACTTGATTTGAATAAATTTCAGAAAATGCCCTTAAGTTTGATCATTTCTCAAATAACCCCCCCTTAATTAAATTTTAAACTACGCACAATATCCTCCTCAAAATTCGGGGTTCTCAAAAAGAACCTTTCAAAATTCGACATCTTTAACCAAAAACAAAGAAAAAAAGAAAAAAAGTATCCTTCACCCTGTTAATCGTGATTTTATGCAGGGAGATATTTTTGCTTGTGAAATTGTGATTTATGTTTAGAGGGCTTTTCTAAAAACATTAAAAATTGAAGGAGATTTTCTTAGAATCAAAAGTACTAAGACGAGCTATGTGACATTACAAAATTAAGAAAAGTTATATAGAGGTCCGTCACTATTCATTGTGATAGCATGAGTGCTATCTATTTGGCGAAGAATCAGGTTTTTCATGCGAGAACGAAGCATATTGACGTTCGTTATCACTTTGTTCGGGATGTTCTTGAAGATGGCGATGTGGAGATTGTGAAAGTCCACACGAAGGATAATCCGGCAGATATGCTCACTAAGGTGGTTCCGAACAACAAGTTTGATCATTGTCGAAACTTGTTGCACATCCGTGATTGTTGAGGCCGTTGACGGCCATTTGGATGAACTACGTTTGGCTTGATTCCTTGGGCAAGAGGCATCAAGAAAGATAATCATCAAAATCATTACACACACCCAAGAATCTCATCTAATACGTAGGGTAAATTTCACAAAAGACTCCTGAAAGTTGGGATATTTTGCAAGAACTATAATTTTAAAATTAAAGAAAGCACTTCACCGAGGTGGAGAATTGTGAACCGGATAAGGCCCAGGCCCACGAACACATGCAGCGGGGATTTTTGAGTCGGTTTCAACACATTCGTTCACGCATTTTCTCTCTGCTCCCTATATAAGCAATAGTTTATTAGGTTTTTTGTGAGCGTAGGAGGCTGGGTACGCAAGGAGTTCGGTTTTGTTTGTGGCGGCTGCAGTTCGTGGAACAAAGTCCAATTGTTTTGTTTGTTTTCTTGTGCTTGAGCAGCCCCTCTCTAGGGTTTTGTGCATCCTTTTGTAGAGAGATATTTGTGAGGGATTTGAGAGAGTTTGTTTAAGGGTTTAGATTGAGTGATTGTAAACCCTAGTTGTATTCTCTCCCTCTATTAGTAGATCTCCCCCTTCCTTGCCCCGTGGACGTAGGCAATTTGCCGAACCATGTTAAAATTGGTTGTACTGCTTTTGTGTGATTTGTAATAGCTTTTAGGGTCCCTCGACGCGCAGTCCTAGAGCTGACGAGAGGAAGAGCTAATATCCTACTTTGATAGGATATAGGCTTCAGATTCTTATTTCCTTTGAGAAACAAGAATTCTTATTGCGACCTGACTCTCTTGTTGTGCTGCCGAAGTGCTGCCGAAATTTCCGCTGCGCGCAACAGATATCATGTCAAATAACCATGTCACATCACAACAGCTCTGTAGTTTCCATGTGGTTTGAGGGTTATTCTCTAATTTAGGAACTATGGCCTTGGTGTTGCTGAAAATAAACTGTCCACGGATAAAGAATGTTGGTCAAACCACTTGATGTAGGATGTTGAAAATTTAGATTTTAGGATTTAACTTTCTTATAAATATTTGATTTTATTTCAATTAATGTATTTAGTTGGAATTGTTATTTAGTTTTATTTGTTACTTAGGATAATAAGATATGGTCTTTGTTATCTTTTAGTTAGAAGTTTATTTGATTTGATTAAGATTTCATCCTATAATAATGATGTATTGCTTCATTTTAAGGATAAGGGAGCATTAATATAAATAAAAGTTTAATGTTTGGAGAAATTGTAGGGTGATATTCATCAAAGCATGAAGCCATTTTTTATTAGGTGTCCATGTGTGAAACCGAACTTTTTCATCGATTTTAGAGGTTAGATACTATAAGTAAATTCGGTCTAGCCTATTTATCTTTTATCTTCCTTTATTTGGTATTTTATTGACAAAAAAATTACAATGAGAAAAACTACTATTCATGGGTACTATTCACCATTTCAACGTCACCTCTCTTTGGCATCATTTCATATTAGCGCCAAAAAATCCACTATTTTGACTTCAACATCAACAGTGAAGCAATTTGAAGTACATCTAAGTCATCAAAATTTAAACGCAATGCAAGTTTCTTGAAGAGGGGGATCTGATGCATACTAGTAGAAAAATGAGCAAACTAGACAGAGCAACCTAGACGGAACTATTTTCCATCTAGTTTGCGGCAAACTAGACGGACAAAATTCCATCTAGTTTGATCCGTCTAGTTTGAGGCAATCTAGACGAAATTTTTCATCTATATTGCCAAATTAGACGAAATGATTATTTTTTAAAAAAATCTGTCATCATAGATGGAATTTCCATCTAGGTTGCATCCTAGACGGAATTTATGTCTAGGTTGCGAAAAAACTAAAACAATAACCTTTCCCCGCACCCCGGGTCCAACTCATCAATCCCCGCCTCAGCAATTGCAACCTGCTCATCTCACGATCCCAACCGCTCATCTCCAAATGCAGCTCAACGATCACAAGCCGTCCAGCTCATCGATCCATGACTCCAACATCCCTCCAATCAAAATCAATCCCCTTCCTCCATAAAATACCAACCCCTCAAGCCTCATTCTCTCCTCATCTCAAGCGACCAAAATACCCCATGTTCCCTTTACCCTAATAAATCTATCGAACCCTAAAAACTCAGTCCCCTTGTTCTCAATCTCAAATGATGCCCAAAGCCGGAGAAGAAGCCCGCCGATAAGAAGCCCGTGACGGAGAAGCCAAAGGAAGAGCCCAAGTCGGAGAAGAAGGCAGAGAAGGCCCCGGCCTGCAAGAAGCTGGCCCAGGAGGCCTCCCACCTAGCCCGCTACAACAAGAAGCCCATCATCACCTCCCGCGAGATCCAGACCTCCGTCCACCTCGTCCTCCCCGGTGAGCTCGCCAAGCACGCCGTCTCCGAGGGCACCAAGACCATCACTAAGTTCACTAGCTCTTAGACCGCACTAGGCTAAGGCTTCGCTGATGATCGATTCGGGGATCTAGGGTCTCGTTTTTAGTAATAATTTTTCTTGTTTTGTCGTTGTTTAGTTGTTATCTCTAGTGTTATTAGTTCCTTTTATGCCATGAATGAAAAAGCACACTTTTTTTAATATTCATCTCGTGTTATGGATGGACTTGGATTGTTGAATGTGTGTATTGGATATGAATATTAATTATATTTAATTGGATGTGTTTATTAAATATATAGAAATTATGTATTCATGTGTACAGGGAATCAACATCTTAAAAAGATTTTTTTTGCAGAAAAAGCAAAAACCTAGACGGAATTTTCATCTAGGTTGCTTCCTAGAAGAATTTTAGTTATCCGTCTAGGATGAATTTTCGTCTAGTTTACCTCAAACTAGACAGAATTATCCTAGACAGACTTTTCTAGACGAGTTTCTGTCTAGGTTGATCAACCTAGATGGAAATCTAAGCAACCTAGACGATTTTTTCCGTCTGAGTTGCGCGTTTTTCTACTAGTGGCAGCATGTTGAAGATTAGATTTTTTAAGATTTAATTTTCTTGTAAGGGATTTGATTATTGTAGTTAACATGCTTTAGTTGGAATTATTATTTAGTTTTATCCGTTAGTTAGGATAATAAGATATGATATTTGTTATTTTTTATAATTAGGAGTTTATTTAATTTGATTAGGATTTTGTCCTATAAATAATGATGTATTGCTTCAATTTAAGGGGAAGGAACAATTTTTATGAATAAAAGTTGTGAGTTAAGAAAAATTATGGAGTGAATCCTCAAGGTGTGAAGACATACTTTCAATTAGGTGTTCGTATATGAAACCGGTATTTTTCATTATTTTTAGAGGTTAAATGTTGTGAGGAAATTTGATCTAGCCTATTTATTTTTTATCTTTATTTATTTGATTTTTTTATTGATAAAAAAATAAAAAATAAATAGAGATTGTTTATGAATGCTATTCATCACGGCCTTGGTTAAGCATCGCCACACAAATCTATTTTTTATTTTTTTATCTAACTTTTCAATTCTTAATATAGTAATTTAGGATCCACTATAACAAGAGTTTTCCACCCCTAGAAAGACCATTAAAACTTGGTCATTCTATATAAAATCGTCTTTGATTTTTTAATTTATGCATAAACCATATTTATACAGTTTTTTCTTGCAATCGAACTCCTAAACTCACTTTTAAGTTAAGTTTTTATTAATATTTCTATAATAATTAGTTCTCAAATAGAAAATATATTAGATAGATGATCCTTAACGGAGGTTAGGTGAGATCGATTACTAAAAAAATTAAGAGAGAAGTGGATCTAGGTAGTTGATTGCAACAAAAATACTTTAAACATGGTTTATGTATAATTAAAAATAAAAAGTGGTTTTTATAAAATAACCCTATCTTAAAAGTTGGTGTCTACGAGAAACCCCTAATAGAAATACAAAGTTTGGGTGATATATGCAAATAATAATGCTGGTATTGTCTAACATTTTGAGCAAAACTTTTGAGGTTCATTTTCTTTGGAGTTCAGGTTACAGTACGGGCACTTGAGCTCAGTTGCAGAGCAATGGTGAGTGAAACCTTTGATGTGACCACGCACCTGCAGAGGAGCACAGTCCATGACGCATTTGTACTTGCCGGACGGTGAGGCACACTCTGTTACTCCTGACATACAGTAATACTTTTTTTTTTCCTTTTTTTTTTGTTTGAAATGACAAAGTATAATAATCAAGGGCAAATTGACGACAAGCTATGGAGTGATCTTAGTAGGGGTTATTAGTTGGGATAAGTTAGAGGCAAGTGGTATAATTATTTTAATAGAATAATTTTATTTTTTTGCAATATTTTGAGTGGAGTAAAGTGGAGCAAGTTGAGAAATGAGTCAATGTAAAGCTTTAATTTGACAATTCATGTAGGATAATTGATAATACGGCACCTTGTTAAAATATAATATTTATTTATCGATTAAGTCTAAATTAATTTATCTAATTGGTTTAGTATAGCATTTAGTATGTATTATAATATGATATATTATTTTAATTTAGGGAAAATTGTGTCTAGGCCCCAAAGAAATAAAGGGGATGTGGCCCAACCCCCAATCTTTTTCCTTACTCTTTAACCCTTAAAATCCTAAAAAATGTGTTTAGCCCACTTTTCACACTCTCCCATGAATACATCCCAAAACATTCTGAAAATACCCCTCCCTTATCTTCTTCTTCTTCTTCTTCTCTGTGGTTTTCTCCTCCACCTCTCAATCTCCTCCCCCTCCTCCTTCCCTCCTCCTACTCTCAATCTCCTCTTAATTTCCCCCCCTACTCCTCTAAATCTCCTCTTAATTTCCTCCCCTCCTCCTCCTCTCAATCTCCTCCCCCTCCCCCTCCCTCTCCTAGTGGTGGTCCTCCACCGCCGCCCTCTACTTCGACCAAACCCTCTCCAACGTCACCCGGTCCTTCGCCATCCTCCTCTCAATCGCCGGCCAATGATCGACCATCCTCTCCTACTCTACTCTAATCGCTGAACATCTCATACCCCTCAAGCCTCTCGAGGAGAAGACTCTTCACACTATGATACGGTCGTGGCCTCCGCCGGCGAATCTCGCTACTGATTTCGAGCTCCACCAGTGCGTCGAGGCATTCTACAACGTAGTTTGGTGGAAGGGAGTGGTGACCAAAGTGTTGGGGAGAGATGGTGACTTACTGTATTCAGTTTGTTTTCCGGCTAGCAGGGAGGAGTTTCAGTTCAAGGAATCGGAGATTTGGAGGCAAATGAAGTGGGTGAAGGGGGAGTGTATTAACGTTGAAGATGGTGATCAGATGAGTGATTAATTATTTCAGTTCTTGAATTTTATTTTCCTTTGAGTGGTTTTATAGGTGCAGGTTCATGGTGTAACCCACTTTCCTTTGAGTGGTTTTATAGGATCAGTTAACTATCATTGGATGTATCCCATGGAGAGGTTAATCAAAATTTAGTTAAGTCTATTTACATTACATGTAACTGCTTTATATTAACAACTCATATTAATGTTATCTTTATATATTTGGGTTTCTTAAAACGGATAATGTGAAATCGGGCTCATCCTGAAGGTTCGATTGTTGATCGTTACATGGCAAATGAATGTATGATGTTTACCTCTCGGTATATATAAGGTGTACATACAAAAAATAAGGAGATAAATAGTAATAGTGATGACACCTTTTAGAAAAGTACCAAGATGAACAAAGACTATTCCATAATTGACTTGAATCAGGCTCATGCCTTCTTATTGTAGAACCTAGAAATCTTTGAAGATTACCGTAAGTAAGAAATTAACTTTAACAAATATGAATTTTTTGAATTATATCAATAGTCTCTAATTTTTTGTATCAATAGACGACATTTGGAGGAGTTGCATTTAGAAATAATTGGTGCATCAGCACGGAATAAAATTGCTAAAATTCATAAAAAAACATTTTGCCAGGTGGGTCATAGCTGAAGTAAGTTAAGTGTATTTTATTTTACATTAATTTTTGGAATAAACAAGACTAACTATTTAACACTAATTTGTGTTTATGTGCAACATTAGGTAGAAAGACAAATATGTGCTAGTTTGCCAGTGTCAGAAGAGATAAGTATTCACTCACATGGACCGCACTACACAGTTAAACAATGTAGCAGATCTCGTGTAAATGGGTGTTTATTTCAATGGGTAGGGCTTGAGGAGGAGAGAGTTACCTAAAACAGTGAGGTCATGACTGCATTCTCTAAAGAATGTTATTCAAGCTCAACTGATCAAAATCTGGTACTTGGTGATGTAATTTATTATGGACAATTAGAAGATATTTTGGAGATATTATATGCGTACGGTAAAAAAATGTACGTAGTTATGTGATGTTTAAGGTTCGTTGGTGTCATGCAGACAGTACTAGGGATGCATAGTACGTAGTTATGTGATGTTTAAGGTTCGTTGGTGTCATGCAGACAGTACTAGGGATGCATATGGTTTTCATCTTGTAATATGTGATGTTTAAGGTTCGTTGGTGTCATGCAGACAGTACTAGGGATGCATATGGTTTTCATCTTGTAACTCTAGATAATGAGATATATCCTGATATGAAGTTTATGTTTGCAAATCAGGCTACTCAGTGCTTTTACATTAAAGATCCTAGGAAGCTGAATGTCTGGGTCATATTGTATAAGGAGCCGAGGACTCTTGTTTAGCTTGCTCTTGATGAAAACTTGGACAATATTGATGACCCAAATGAGGCGGAAGGAGAAAATTTTCTTAATTACTCATACCCTCAGAATGTCAATTTTAATATGTATAGTTCGCAAATTTGACTTGATATCTATAATGTAGGAGATCGAATACAAAGATACTTATGCAAATTCGACTTGATATCTGAAATATAGGAGATTGAATACAAAGATCCTTTTGTAAATTCGACTTGGTATCTTGTACGCATTTATTAAATACTTCAATTATGTTAGATTAACAATTTAAGTTGCAGATGAGCCAACGAATTAGGAGGCTATCTTTTCCATTGGATTGAGAAGGTCCATCATCCGGTATGCATATTCAAATTTTATTTAAGTAAGTTGTATTTGATATAAATATGCATTATATTTACTATTTTGTTTATTTATCTAGGATCGTCCTCACGACCATCTCAGAGTCCGTTATCTCTACATAGATTGTCATCCATTGAAGGTATAAAATTTTCTTGTTTTGTTGCCAACAGTTATAGCACACATTCATCTTTCAATAAACTAATTGCTTTATTTAGTTTGAACTTTATGTGCATGTAATTACCTTTCCTTTCTTGTTCTTGTTCTAACAACTATACATATTTATTTAATTGTATTATGTCAATTGATAAATTTATATGATCATATCTTATTTTTTAATTTGTTAGATATTACGGGGACATCTCAAATGGGTACACTGCAGCATCAAGACGCACCACCGGATCTAGGTATTATACATTTGTAATGTAATGATATTTTAATGTAATGTAATAATATTTTATATTCCTAATAGATATTTGCAGACAATGCTAATTCTTAATATACATTTGTAATGTAATGATATTTTATATTCCTAATAAATATTTGCAGACAATGCTTGCGATGGATTTGGTGATGACGAGATCGAGCACTAGATAATGTCTGTAT